CAAACTATATCATGGTTTATAGAAGCCTGTCTGGAGACCCATCTGGCCCTTGTCCTAACCTTTACCCTCTACGAAAAAGCGTCTGGTAGTGTCGAAGCGACTGCACTCCTAACAGTGCTCGTCACCCAAAGAGAGGATTCGCCCATAACGACCAACAGTAATCGGAATTGCAGCACAAATATACAGGTTTTTCATCGGCCCTTTACCATACCGATAAGAAAAGAGGTTTGACAAAGCGGCACAGGTTGGGCAAAGCTGTTTGCTGCAAAAATTTAGTGTTCAACTCAAATCTTCCAAGCCTATTCTATCTTCTGGATAAAAAAAGATAATGCTTTTAGCGACGATCTATCTCAAAGAGATGCACAATGAATTCAACTTCATCAAGTATCGCTGGAAGGAATTGAATGCATATCCAGCTTTTACTATGAATCGCAGTGGCCTACCGATGTATCGAGACAGAGCTGCTATCCTCCCAGGCAAGTTTATTCTAATCGCTCTGTCCATTCCATCGCCTTCGGTTTCAAATTACGTCAAAAGGCAAAAATCTTAACTTATGGTCTATCTCTTTTTTCGACCATAGCCTTACCTTAGGCATAACAAATGGCGCGGGATCACACTATTTGCAGACTTACCACTAAAATTCTCCAGTATACTTGGCTAAAGCGTATGTGCTGATGACTGCCTCCTGACTTCTGGAACAAAATGCGTTCAGCCAATGCATTCTATATAGTTTCCAGAAACCATAACTTTTATTTAACTTTATCATAAATAATCAGCACTTTTTTGGACTAAGCTAACACGAGATTGGTATGAAATTTTATACCGCTAAAGTTTCGACGTCATCGTTTTCTGAATGGGAATGTGGAAGCAATTGTACTCATATGGTCGTTGTCGCGAAGTTAGTTCACGTTGCCGCATCGAGTCGAATCGTCTGGAGTGGTGGACTGCTCGAATGAACAATCCTCGTTTTCCGGTGTCATTTTATGCGGGACGGCAGTTGATCTTTTGCAGCCCAGCATGGTCAGCTGGTATAATGATTCGATTTATTGGTGGCAGTGGATTCTGCTGAATTTTGTGCTACATATCCGCTGGCAAATTGTGTGACAATACTTCTAAAATCCGTCCTTTACTTAACTTCGGTGTAAAGAGCATTATTCAGTCCTGTTCTGAAGAAAACGATGAAGGCGGAACGTTAGTAAAACAATATTTTGTACTAACTTCGTGTTCGCTTAATAATCTAAGGAAATATTTTACTTGACTTGGACGCTAAACGCCACATATAGAGGATTATATGGTGTGGCAGTCGAGGGATCACAATAAATGAGGGTTTGTCGCTGAAATGATAGTAATGGGACTTATGAGTGATTTTTTCTAAGAGTCGAGTTTCTATGTCTTAGACATATAAAGCTCTTCCACTATAATTTTGAAACCGACCGCCGTTTAAGCTCGGAACTATAATAATCAACATTTGTCTATTTTATTGAGCTTACACGAGGTTGATAGAAATGTTTATTCGGCTAACGTTTCGATGTTTTCGCCTTTATCAGGGCCGACGATCCTTGTAGATGGCCCACAGTTGTTCGTCTTCCCGATATGGCGTCTTCATCTCGCATCGAACTGGATCTTCCTCAGTTGAGCATCTCGAGTGAGCCAAACACACCCGGTGACACTCTTTTACAGAAAGTTTTTTTCATGTTCGTCGGCTCTGATAAAGACGAAGACGTCGAAGCGTTAGCCGAATAAACAATGCTTTCACTATGTCGAAGCAACGATCAAAGCCTAGTAGTCTCATAGGCAAAAGTTTTGCTGTCGATAATTCGACCTTGGTGAAAAGGAATCTCACGGAAGTCCTCTTACCATTAACGACGATTAATTGAAGGTTTTGGTGATAGCAGATGCAATGCGATTGTTCAAGGAGTTTCATAAACTCTATGTAATCACCTGCACTACTTCGACCCATCTGGAGAAAATTTAAAAGTCGAGAAAGCTCGATAAATGGATTTTGCACGAGTGGCAATAAAAGAATTTGACTCTTTGAGGCATCGTCGGCACTTCTACTAGGCAATCGCAACGACCGGTTCCTCGTCTAAAATGTGACGGTGACGAAAAATAAATCTTGCACACCAACCAGCGACAATCGACTTAGTGGTTGGATTGCGATAAACTCTGTAATACTTTCCAAAGTTGAAAGTACGTCAAAAAAGGCACTGCTGAGCGTTTGGTGATTTTCTGCCGCTTCAGCCTTTCATGGCTTCCTGAATCCTCGTGAAACGATGACGATAGAGAAGTGAATCGACGAAATTCACCGAAAGCTTCAATACTCCCACAGGTCAACTAAAAGCTTCTGTTCCTTCTCCATAACAATGTGCGGTCACATGTTGCACTACCAACGCTGCAGAACTGGAGCAAGCTGGACTACGAAACTGTGCCGTAGCCACCACAATCTCCAAGCCTCTTAGCGACATAATACCACTTGTTCAAAAGTTTTTACAACTTCCTGTGAAGCAGATATTTGAAAAATAAAGCCGACACCAAAACTCTCTTCAACGATTTCATCTCCCCGGAATTCCAGAGTTTTACGTGAACGGTATAGACTAACTTGCCACTCAGCAAAATGCGTAGGTTTTAATGGCTCATGCTTATTTCGCTCAATAATTTTATTTGTTGGATGTGTTATACTTCTTTAGAGATTTAGGTTGAAATCCACCGTTAATTTGCGAGCAACCTCATAGTGTTGACGAAACTAAGCACGCAAGCTTATTACTGTTCCACTTATATTGGTTTTCTCATTGGCTTACCATCTTGTGGTGACAAAAATTTTTTCCCCAATATCGAAGTTTGCTGTTGACCTGTGAGCACTATCTTGCAAGATCCTCCTAACGGTTACCACTTCATCGTGACTAGCAGGTATTCCTAGGTGTCGGGCTGCGATGTACAGCGGTGGCATTCATCACCCCGGCAGGGTGGTTTTCCAGGCTATGAAGGAATCTCGCTTTTCCATTAGGAAGCCTAGCTAAGAATGAGCCAATACCGAGATCGACCACTGTCCTGCTATCGAGCTAGTCGTATGGTGGCAAATCTTCCTTTGATCCACATGGGCTACAACTGCCTGTGGTGGTAACGACCTCGGGCAGGCTTTGGCTAGGCTAACCTCAGGACTCCAGGAAAATATAATAGCTAAACCAACAATACTCCGAAGAACGGAAAATTTTGCTGTGATTCGCATAATCAGTGAAGACGGGCCATCAAAGTATTGATGTATCCATATATCTTGCAAGATAAAGGGAAGCAAATAAAATGGGTTAATACGATACATTCCGGCGGTTTTGCTTCCACATCCACGCATTGATAGAAATCCAATATCGCTAGCGCTAGGTGTTAAATACCAATATTAATAGAAGAATTCGAGTGAAACATTTGGGCTTTTGCTGCTTTTGTTAGGCTATTCAATTCCTAAGTAGCTAAAATATGACATTATGCTTATTTAGTAAGTCTAACCAAATTAGATGAAGCACAAGTTTGCAAAAATTAATTGGTGGAAAACGCCTACGGTGAAGTGGAGCTAGTTATGGAAAACAGTGGAGGCTATATTCAGTATTTACCAAGATCGAATAGTTGCTTCAGTACTGTAAATTCCACCGTTCTACTAACTCCACCTGTAAAACTGCGCTTGATCTGATGCTGCATCCTTTGTGCACTCTTTCAAACGAATCTACTATTTCTCTCAACATATTTGTAAAATTGAAATTTAACCGATGACACGAAAATCTGTGTGCACTCCTAGGTGTACAAGGTGGTACACACAGTTAAGTAAATAACATTTTTTACGATATATTATAGAACGAACGGGTAAAAGAAAGTCACACTGTTACAGAATGGACAGTAGGCAAGATAATCAATAAATAAAGTTCGACGAATGGAACAAGCATGATGAAGTGAAGTCCTTAGATCATTTGTTGGACATGTGCTGCTGCAACTGCCCCGTATGTTCCGAAGAGAAAACGTGCAGCAGCAGCGGGATCGACCTGTGGCATAGAAAGTAGCCGCAGAGAAAGTGGTGAACCAGCTGGAGCAGGTAGCAAACTAAACGAGAAATATGTTTTTTGATTAAATCCTATATAGGTCATCTTAAATGAAGGCTTTCGTTTTTAGCTGCACTCTAATTGATTCGAGTTCAAATTGTGATGAACCATGAAAGAGCTTTCTAGCGATTCTTGTCATTTTGGTTGGCTGGAAATTTACTGTCCTATAAAGCGCCTTTCGGGCTCTTGATGGAATATAAACCTTAGCTGTATCTAAATCAACCAAATGTTCAGCTCGATTCTAAACAACAAAATTTAAAGATGCCTACTCACTATTTGTTGTCATCAACAGAACTTTCACGGAAAGACTTTGGCTGTATTTCGGATTCACCGTTAGGTGAATATAAATTTGGTTTCTCACAAGTGCTTGCTAATTTAGTTGGTCGATAAGTCAGTGTGATCCATTCAGGAAAAAATTTGCTGCCGAAATTACAAGCTACGAACGAACAAGCAGAATGAATTGGGTGTGCCAGAACGCACATATTGAGAAACTTCTCTCATCTTCTTACACCTATAAGTTTCATACGAAGGAGAGAGAGGATGTATTATTTTAAAAAAGACATTCTATCAGTGGTTTTAAACGGCTGTTTTGATTTGTAGACAAACAACATCGTGGCAAGTTCGACGTGATCTTATTTCGTCTACGAAATTGAATACGTTTGGAATGGGTCAGATTTGCAATGATAATTCAGCCTTTATGACAGTAAAGACTACTACTTTTTCACTGATTGGGCAACAGCATCCGTTTGCGTTCTAGTTCATTCTTATACAATACAGTCGTCATTCCTTCTGAGAGCACTCAATCAGGTCCAGATTTATCCATGAAGGATAAAACGACTAATTTTCGACTTACGTGTTCCACACTTATGAAAGTGGTAAACACCACCACTTTTACTTCTAGATTTATTCATTCTATGTTTACCTTGCTGCCATCGTTGGCATCCTTTCATTGGTACATAAGGTGGGACCAAAAAGATTAGCTCGATGAATCTGTAAAGCTGCCGATGGGTCCTCCGTAGCTGCCTGTCTTTTGAATTTGTTACGTCGGTTTTGAAACCAAATCTTTACCTGAAAAACCTTCATTCGTGCTTGCGGCACGGAATGGGCTATTAAAAGGAACAAGAACATATAGCTTGTTACTGAGCTTGAATTTATTTACGATGAGTTCAAAAGATTAAACTGTAGAAAGTGAGCCTTGTATTTTTCACTTATAAAAACAAAGCAAAATCTTTAACTAAAAATTCCGCCTGGATTTTTTAGACTAAAATAGTTCGGAAAGTTTCGTTAGCAATAATGGTAGCATTTAAAACACATGTGTTAACCGTTGTTAGCGAAATAGGATCACAGTGCTGTCGAGATTTCGCTTTTGTAGAGAATTTCGTTGTTTCTTCCCGTCATTCATTCTGGGTACTCAAGTACTCACTGAGATCAATGATTAAAATTACTTATGTTAAAATGAGGGGATCTACCTGTGTCTCGGTGAGATGGAGTTTCTGCGCCAACTGTGCCCTCTCCTGGCTGCTGAGATACCGTTTCATGTCAAACATAAGTTCAAGTTGAGATACCTAAAATTATTTACGTCCACATGAAATTACATTTACAGGAAAATTCAATTTAATTTGCAAGAAAGGGAATAACATACCTGTTGCCTGCTAAAAACGGTTCTAGTTTTTTTCTTTCGATTTGTGCAGTTGGGATCTGATGATGTGTCGTCATCACTGCCTCTTGCTTCACCTCAAACGACATGAAATGTGTGGTCCTACTTAGCACAGAAATGAAAGTGCTTATCAGCTTCACCATTCTGTTTCCGTTCATTTCATAGCTCATTTATTCTTGTCCTCCTACACAATCGATATAATGAAAATTGTTCACCGAAATAAACACGTTCAACTTTAACATAGGGTAAAAAGGCAGTAAGTGGAAACTAATAAACTAATTACACTGCGTTTGCGTTCTGATCAATAATTCACTGTTTAATCAGGGTTATACCCTTTCCACTCATCTCTGTTTTTGACTTTTATGATCCTTTCCTTGAATTGTGCACTTCATGTTGTCATTTTTCCACTTTTAGTTGAATCTCTAGAAGAATAATAATAGTTGCAAACCACATTCTTCTCCATCATCCTCAACGTCTGAGTCTAACGAGCTTCCTCTTGCTTTCACCGATTGTTCCATTTTCATCTGAAAACAAACTGAACGCCTTTGAATATCTGGCTTGCCTAATATTTGTAATACCTTTCTTATTTCTTCATTTGCATTGAAGGGTTCAAAAACTTGTGAGATAGCATTTGACACGTCTGATGTGGTTTCGCTACTGAATCCTTAAATATTTCTATTCATGTAGTGTCTTGCTAGAGATTGCTCTGGCTTGGCTAAAAAAGTTTTTGCTAGTAATGTTGAAGTTCACTTCTCCTTTTCTTTCGTGAGAAGACTTAGTGATAATGTTTTTAAAATCTGTTTTATACAGCACAATTTTCCACATTGCAACTAACACAGCATTCCTTTTATTTGGTTCTCTGTCCTGCATTCGTCATCCAAGGAATTGAACACAGGTTCAGATGCTACCTGCGGGTTTCGTCATTTTCATAAATGTCGCGGAATTTTTCACGAGTTGTTTCTACATAGAATTCTTGGATAGCTCTACTAGAGTGCTCTCAACTCTTCGCCAAAAGCAGTCACTCGGTTTTGTCGATTTGGAAGGAGTTTTATCCAGAACAGTCCGGTATCAGTTAGTTGATCACGAGGAGTCAGAACTTGTATGGTTCTGAGCGGAGTCACACCAGAGTCCTTGCGTATATTGCACAACTTCAACCACAGTCTCTTCCGGTTTCTTCAATAATTATGGCATTAATAGTAACAACAATAATAATAATGACGGTGATGATAACGGCGATAATAAAAAAGGATAAGGATAAAGCTCTAGGTTCTGATCAAACCCTGAGGGATGAGCCATGCATTCGAGTTCATCATTCGTTAGTGCTGACTGAATGCATATCTGGACTACATAGTAGCTCGCTGTAGCCTACCGATATATCAAGTCAGTGCCGCAGTTCGCCCAGACAAGTCTGGTAAAAATTTGCCGACCACAAAGAGATGGAAGGCTTAGTAAACTTGGGGCGCGGAATAAAATCAATTTATATTCCAGGGTACACCTAACCACTCCGCTATAGGCGCGCTAGAGATGAAAATAATTCTAAACTTATCAGTTATTATATATTATTATTTACTTATTGACTTAATTTGTTTATTTATTTACACAAGGCACTTATTAATTGTTACAATCATTATTATTGCACTACTGTAGAAATACCATTGTTAGACTACACAAGGTATAGTGGCGTAATCATTGCTTATTTTATATTATGTTACGTTGACACTACATTGAGCTATCAGGTTCTTCAGAAACAAATGAGCGTTTTAAAAAATTTATTGTTTTAATCTATCTGTTACCCGTAAAGACAAAAACTGATTCTGAGCTCTTTCAAATTACCAAATTTTTTTATATTTTGTCAAAAGTCAATTTCTTTCTACCAATTTTGAGCTTTGAGATTTTAGTTGTCAAAAACGGATTTTCGTCAAATTTCCTTTTATGAGTTCAAACTCGGTCGTTGTACGCCTAAGACAGCTTGAAACATTAATCAAGTTTGGAGTGAAGGAGTGTTGGTGAATCAACAGTGCGAACATGGTTCCGGAAACTCTGATCTGGTGATTTCGACCTTGAATGTAAGGGAGGAGCAAACACGCGAGCAACTTTCGAGAGCTTCCAGAGCAATTTGGCGTAAGCACAGAAACAATTTCCACTCACTTGAATCGCATAGGAGAGGAAAAAAAAAAACTCGTCAACTGAGTGCGACACAATTTAAACGACGATCAAAAAATCATCGTTTTAAGATGTCGTGTGCTTTTATTCTGCGCAACAAAAACGGCCCTTTTCTTGAACGAATTGATGTGCGACGAGAAGCGGATTTAGTACGGCAACCGACGACGTTCAGCTCAATGGTTAGATTGCGATCAGGCCCCACATCACCTCCTAAAGTCGAAATTAAACCAAAATAAAGCTGTGATGACTGTTCGGTAGACTGCAGCCGGGCTGATTCATCAGTTTTTTCAATCCGGGTAAAACGATAACGACAGGGAAGTATTTCCAACAAATCAACGAAATGCACCGTAAACTCTAACAACAACTACCAGCATTGGTCAACAGAGAAGGACCAATCCATCANTTATATATCATTATACAGCCAATTTTGTTTTTTCCAACCTTTTTATATTTCGCCAAAACTTAACTTTTTTTCTACCAATTTTGAGCTTTGCGATTTTAGATGTTAAAAAGGAATTTTCGTCAAATTTCCTTTTATGAGTTCAAACTCGGTCGTTGTACGCCTAAGACAGCTTGAAACATTAATCAAGTTTGGAGTGAAGGAGTGTTGGTGAATCAACAGTGCGAACATGGTTCCGGAAACTCTGATCTGGTGATTTCGACCTTGAATGTAAGGGAGGAGCAAACACGCGAGCAACTTTCGAGAGCTTCCAGAGCAATTTGGCGTAAGCACAGAAACAATTTCCACTCACTTGAATCGCATAGGAGAGGAAAAAAAAAACTCGACAACTGAGTGCGACACAATTTAAACGACGATCAAAAAATCATCGTTTTAAGATGTCGTGTGCTTTTATTCTGCGCAACAAAAACGGCCCTTTTCTTGAACGAATTGATGTGCGACGAGAAGCGGATTTAGTACGGCAACCGACGACGTTCAGCTCAATGGTTAGATTGCGATCAGGCCCCACATCACCTCCTAAAGTCGAAATTAAACCAAAATAAAGCTGTGATGACTGTTCGGTAGACTGCAGCCGGGCTGATTCATCACAGTTTTTTCAATCCGGGTAAAACGATAACGACAGGGAAGTATTTCCAACAAATCAACGAAATGCACCGTAAACTCTAACAACAACTACCAGCATTGGTCAACAGAGAAGGACCAATCCATCATCATGACAAAGACGGGCTTCACGTTGCAGAACCAGCGCCGCAGAAGTTGAACGAGCTGGGCTACGAAACTTTGCTTCATCCTCCAACTTGATCCTTTAACTCACCCGCCATATTTATCAGACTTCTCGCCTACCGTCAATCACTTCTTCAAGGACCTTGACAGCTTCCTGCCCAAGAAATGCTTCACCAACCACGATGACGCAAAAATGCCTTCAACGAATTCATCGCTTTCAAAACTCCAGGATTTGATGCAGGTAAAATAATTAAGCTAGGTTTTTGTTGGAAAAACATGTTTAAATTCGAATAATTTTTATTTTTATTGATAAAGTTTTGTTTCAAACAAGTCATAACGTTTTAAATAATATAGTTAAACTTTTGACTTAAAATATGGTAAAATCGGCAGAGCATATCTTGTAGTTCTTCTCCAAGCGGCACTTGGTCGTCGAGGTGAGAGGACGATGAAGAAGAGAAAGCACTCGCCACATGGACACGTTATGGTGTTTGAGACGCGGTATCTAGAGAGATACTTTGTGATAATAACAGAGTGAATGGTTCGATCTCGCTCGTTGAACTGCTAGTGGAGCATCTCTCTCCTTGCGCTTTCAGCAAATTGATACCAGACTTGTTTTAGACAATATAAACCATTGCCTGGATAAACCTGTAGGCAACGTCAAGTCGTTGTAGAGGGAAGTGAAGTACTTCCCGCTCCGTGCGATGTTGAATAGTCGGTCATCATCATGTCATCATTTGTATCATCGAAATACAAGTCACTGTTACGGATAGTTGGATCGTCGGCTGTCGCACTTCCGTTATTGCTCTCGTTCCCGCGTAAATGATTTTACGTCAATGCAGAGAACTCCATTTCTCGTACTATACAATTGGATTTGTTGTGGTGTGATGAGTTCGTAATCGTAACCCGGATTCTCAAATTAGCGCCGTGATTTGTTAAGTGGACCGCTGTTTTTGGCTCGTCGGCGAATTTTCGATGATAACGTGCTTTGAAAGAACAATTTACTCTTTACTTTTAGTAGTGATGGCGGATTCCATTGTATGGAGCCATTATTCGAAAAAAAAAAACGAACCATAACTGGCTTAAAACTGCTTCTAGGCTAAAGAAGGTAACGAAAAAGCATATTTATTATCTGCCTTCCATATCATTTATTTAAATCATTTCTCATTTGAGGTCGAAGGACATACACACGGCACTTTTCTCTCTCTCCATATATATATATATATATATATATATATACAAATTATGACTATTCTACTCTATGCGTATATATGTATATTTATATATTAACTCTAACTGAATGGAAATGGTGAAAATCAAAAGAAGGCGCTGTAATGACAATGGTAATTGTCATCCACGGGTGGTAGATGCGTATCTCGACCCATGGTGTGTTACTGTTCACTATGCTCAGTCTTTGTGATCTTGCCGCAAACTTCTTAATGAGCACACCCTAATTTATTTCTAGAGTCCTTTGTTTTGAGGGTCACTCTTGACTTGGATCATACGTTCGTCTAAGCAACGTGCTCAGAATAGATACACAGACATTAGAATAATGGTTTCGAGCGCCTGGCTACCGTATCTTCGGCATGACCTGCAACCTGAACCGTTCTGTGATGATCAAACCCTTTTAATTCAATGCTAAAGTAGGTAAAACCACAAACAATAGAACCAACTGTAGATATTCCCACGATAAGTTGTGCAACAGAACTCTATAGAAGTTGTAA